TAAGTGAATGCAAATCCAATGAACTCTGAAAATATCAATCATTCAATGTATTACATTGGGGTCTTGGTAATAATCTAATCTCAACTTTCCTTATATTAGAAATTTGTGAAAGGAGTCAATTATTCCTTATAAATCCATTAAATATGTAGGAAATATTGGGAAATATTCTCCATTTTTCACAAATGAAAATAATAATTAAAATGCTAAAATGAAGACTACTTTAAGATTATTCATATCTTACACAATTTCCCTACTGGTATCCCATGCAAAATAATGCAAACTAAATGAATTTATATTAAATAAGGTGGCTCAGGAGGAAATCTTGCCCTAAAAACTAACCATTCCGAGTTATTTGAAATTGGCAATGTGTCTGGAGTTCTAAAATAAATAAGTGATGTGAAAACCTAAGTTTCTAGATTCTTCAGATCTTAACTGTAATATTTGGTTGTATAATCAATCCTTAGTTAATCTAAGTGAAATGCAGATTTGTTTCTTTTTAGCTAATAATTTTATTTGTATGTGTTATCAGACACATAATTGAGCATTTCCTAGAAATAGACCTTAAAATCCAAGTTAAATTGTCTTACCTCTTTTTTTCCTCCTTTCAAAAAACAAAAGTGATCAACTTTGGAACCTCTTCCTGTTCGCAAATTTCTAAAGAATAACTTTGTTCCTTAGAACACAAAGAATAGCAAATGTATATCTTAAGAACTAGGTATATCCCAACTTGGAAAAGTTTGCATTTTTTATTAAATACTGACTCTTCAAATTAATGTCTTTCCTTTCTAATGATAGAGTTGAAATAGTTAAAACAAAACTTTCTCAATAAGCAAGATGGGAAGTTTCAAAGGAAATTAAAAGCAAATACATTGTTCCAAGTGCTTTCCAGAAATCTATATAAGAAACACAAACTTCTACAGCACCAGTAGAGGTAATACCATTTTTACCAGTGACGAATGATCAGAGTCCTTTGTTCTAGAAATGATGACCCCAGTTAAATCTTAGCATTACACATTTCCCTTCAGAGATGGAGGGGAGTGAGTTGCTTGCATTCATGACAAAATATGAGACTGAGCTAATTGGTGTGGTTTTGATGATGCCACAGTTCTGCCCAAAACCCTTATAACTAGCAAGTTTGCCCTGAAGATTATTGAATTACTCCCCCAATCACGCATTATTCAAAGGGAAATGCTGTTGTTATAGAAGCCAGCTGTTTAACCATTGGAATTCTGTCGGCCAACTTTTAAGATACAGCAGTACATTATGACTAAACATTATGTCTACTAATGGAGGAGTCAAAGTCTAAGTTAGCTGGTGACCAACTTGTCTGGTAAGCAATCTTTGGTCTACGTGCTGTGAAACCTTTGAAGCAAAACTGACAAAATAAATGTATAAATACGTAAATTTTCAATGTCAAGACTGTCAGCAAGAAATATTCAATGGAATGTTATACATGCCTATTCATTCTAAGAGTTGAGTAAGTGCGTGAATGTTTCATCATGGCACTACAACAGAACTCTTGAACCACATCTTGCTATAGATGGGACTATACCAGGCACCTGTTTTTTTGTTTTGTTTTGTTTTGGTTTTTTTGTACCATTGAGTAAGGACAATTAAAAAGTATTTTGAGCATCTTAGGCAACTTCAAATAGACAGAAAACAAATTTTAACCTTCTAATTTAGAATATATTTGAACCCCTTTCTTGAAATAGTTTCCAATCATACTGAATATTGGGCCCAACCCAGTTTTCTTTTTTATCTCTTCACTTGTTATAGGATGTTTGGAATAGAAAAGACCATAGCAGTTATCCACTGTGTTCAACAAAGGAATCTTCTGCTAGGATCTCTGACAGATGTTTATTACAGCCTTTACTTAACTGATTCCTGCAATGAGGAGTTCATTACTTTTCAGTGAAATCTGTCCCATATCTAACACTTGTAAATTCAAATTGTTAGGAATTCTTTCTTATATTAAGCCAATATTGGCTTCTCATTCACCTACCAGCTCTGATTCTGCCCAATGGAGCAGAATTATATAGCCCCTAATGAAGAGTTTCCCAAGGCAAAAATAGAACAATTAGTTCCATCTCATTTAAATGTTAATTGAAATGACTTTAGTTATAATTTACAAGTCATTAAAAAATATCTCAAATAGGAAAATATCAAATACTGAAGCAAATTGTTTATTACCTTTCTGATAAATTACATTGTATCAGAATTCTAGTTGTAGACCACAGCAGCAATTACCTTTGGTGAGAAATTAGATTTTTGTTTGTTAAATATTTTGATGTAGAGCCAGAAAAAAATCAAGCTTATAGGGCACTTCAAAAGATGAATTAAACTTCAAAAGGCAATAGGTAAACACTTGTTATATTCATGTATTTCCAATGATGTACAATGAGTCCATTCTAGACATTATGAGTAGACAAAGAAAAACATCTCTCTGGATTGTGGTAACCAGAGATAATTGGCAATTATATTTACAGCAAAATTTAAGTCTGTATGCCACTATTTCAACAATATTTTAACAAATGTAGACATGAGATAGCTTTCTCTATGGAACATTGCAAAAAAGTCCTAAAATTCTTTGTACCTAAATTCATCGATCTATAGACTAAAAAGCATGAGCTCAGAGTTTAGATGAGCTTAGAGTTTGACTGGGCCATGTCAAACTCTGAGCTCATTTAAGCAAGGTGATAAGCCAAATGCCCAGCATGTCCAGTTATTTTTTGCTGTGATGATGATGACTTTCTATTTTCCGAGAGGAAATAGACATGTGGTGAGTTTTGTGGTTGTTTATAGTCACCAAAAAGAGACTATGCAATCTTAGAAATGATCTCTGCCATCCCAAGATGAAGGTTGGTGTCTTCCCCCTATATCAGGCAAGGGGCTCCCGCAGAATTAAGTTAGAGAAGCTTGAAAGGGAAATACTAAATAGGTCTTGGAATCCCAAAGCCTGTCCTTGTCTGTCTTCAAACCTAAGCATGAATTCTGAAATCAGTTGTTTCTGGGTTGGCTAACTTTGAAAGTTTCTGGAGCTCCTCCTACCAGCCCACCCCGAAACATCAAGTTACTATTTCATAATCAACAAATGAATCCCAATTACACCTCATTAAGAAATTTATAGTTTCAACAAAGAGCAATCATTACATGTAATGGACAAAAGGTACAATGATCACAAAATAGGTCAAGTTACCTTTTCCTTCCTTCCCACCCCCAAGAGAGGAGCCAAAGGGTATCAGCTGTGCTTTACTGGCTAGCCACTTAGCAAAAAGTATGTAGAAGTCCTTTGTGGATTACAAAGGACCATGTACAAAGCCCATTTGTGTCTTTCCTCTAATTTATGGTTCCAGGAAAAGATTATAAAAACTAAAAAAAAAAAAACAAAAAACATTGTTTACATTGCTCAGGGGACCTGCTGAGGCATGGCTGGCCAGGGCCCTATCCCTCCCAAACCCCACAGCCATCAGGAGCCCACAGAATCTGCTCTGAGAGCTGAGCAGCAGACCCCGCCCAGAAAGACCACAAATGAACCCTCACTGAGTTACTACCTCCAGCTGTCCTAAGAATGATAATAAACCTGCCTTACGGGAGGAAGCAGCCGCTAGGGTCCTGTGCCAAGCATCAGGAAAGCATTTGGGTTCTTAGAGGATGCCATGAATCCTGGCCCTTCCAGCAGGGAGGCAGCCAAGCTAGTTTGGTAGCAGGCCATTACCATGGGCCTGATCTCTCCCAATGAGGGAGTGCAAAATACGTGAGGATTCTGACTTTCAAAATCCTATCCTCATGTAATGGTGTCATTATTACACAAACATAGACTTGTGATTTAAAATGTAATGTTTTCTTCTGTCAAGAATTAAGATTGAATACGTGTCAGATTGATTAATTGGATTCTTCTGTGCCCGTAATTTATAAATTTTCTTTCATAAAGCCTCAGAATCAGTGGAGAAGATAAGGAGAGATAAAGGAAGAGAAGAGAAAGCAAGGTTCTGGACCTCTGCACTTGCCAGAGCTAGAGCAGAATCACAGGAAAGATGGACATTTTGTTCATTGTTTCAGTTCGGTAGTTACTCTATAAGAAACAGAATTCATTGTTCTGGTCTCTTGGGGTGATAAGAGAGGGAGCCCTATTAGATTGGTATTGTAATTAATTTCAAGTCCCAAGACTTCTGCACACAGTCAATAGTGACCCTGCTTCTCCACAGACCACATAGGACCCTGGAAACGGTACTTGGAGAAAGCTGGCTATGCATTATTCATACATGATTTCATTTAATACTCAAACAATTCCTACAAGGATGATAATATTAACTCCATTATATAAATGGGCAAACTGAGGCCCAGAGAGCTTAGTGACTTGTCCAGAGTCACACAACAGCTCCTCTCGGCTCCATGAGGCACTTGAACTTTGCAGCAAGTAGATCTGAGTTTGCATCTTGACTCCACGATTTGCTGCATGAATGACCTTGAGCAAGTCTTTGCCATCTCTGAGTCTCAGTTTTCACATTAGTAAAATGAGGAGTCCTCTCCAAACTTAAAACCCCTTTGGTGTTCACCCTGACTTTACACTCAAAGCAGTTAAACAAAAAGGCAAACATTTTAGCTGTTCTGCTTATAAAAACAATGTGGAGTTGCCAGCAAGATTAAGAAAATAATGCATGGTTTTCGTTAAATATTTCTGTCATCCTCGGAACCCAATATATAAGACAAGACCAGGATTGGTCATAGACAAGATCCTTGCCTACACAGGTTGCCAAGCTTGGGAAGAATTACCACAAACAGTGTGGAGAATGAGTTAGTGCTGAGTGTGGTACAGAATCCAGGAGACATACTGGAATCCAGAAAGATCCATGGGGTCAGGAATCACTGGGGATGTTCTGAGAAGAGGTTGAGACATTGCAGAATATGTAGGTTAACTAGATGTGGGGAGAGGCAAGAGCTGGGTGAAGACTGAAGAAAGCAGATTCCACCCTAACATGAGGCCACTCTGATTTGTACAGACAAGCCCACTGGGTATGGCTCCAGCAGTCGGAGGGTGCCTCAGACAGGCATCGTGAATGAGTGCTGCTTCCGGAGCTGTGATCTGAGGAGACTGGAGATGTACTGCGCACCCCTCAAGCCTGTCAAGTCAGCCCGCTCTGCCCGTGCCCAGCGCCACACTGACATGCCCAAGACCCAGAAGGTAAGCCCACCTGGGTGGGATCAAACCATCCTCAAGTGGTCTCTCTTTTGTGCATGTGAGTGGGCCAAGCTGTAATTCTGACCCATAGACCCCTGGCTTACAGGTCAAAAAAAGCTCCATTCGCACCAAAGGGATGGATTACATCCCCATCTCTTTGGTCACTCTGCATTGCAAATTTCCCCTTCCACAGCTATGGTTGATGTGAAGATTGGAAGAAGTTACAAAAAGTGGCTAAACAAACATGGGCTTTGGTATCAGACAAAAGTGAAGTCCTGGCTTCCCCACACACCAACTGAGAGCCCTTGCCAAATAATGTAACGTATCCAAGCCTCAGTTTCATCAGTAACATTTGGATAATAATAATATCTACCACATCAGTCTGTTGTCAGAGTTAAGCAGTTAATGCATATACTTTGAGATGCTTTTCAAATGCCTGCATAAAGTAATTGTTGGACCATCATTAATGTCTGTCATAATTTTACTTAATAACAGAGCTTGTAACCTTTCAATTTCTGTAATCTTGCAAAGAAGAAAAAGGCTAATGGGAACTACTCAAAATTCACATTCAGAAGCAAACATAATTAAACAAGAAAAATTAAAAATAAAAATTTCTGTTTGGCTATAAGAATGCCTAGAAGTGGGCTGGGCGCGGTGGCTCACACCTGTAATCCCAGCACTTTGGGAGGCCATGGCAGGTGGATCACGAGGTTAAGAGATTGAGACCATCCTAGTCAACATGGTAAAACCCCGTCTCTAATAAAAATACAAAAAATTAGCTGGGCATGGTGGTGCGTGCCTGTAGTCCCAGCTACTCAGGAGGCTGAGGGAGGAGAATTGCCTGAACCCAGGAGGCGGAGGTTGTGGTGAGCCAAGATCGCGCCATTGCACTCCAGCCTGGATAACAAGAGCGAAACTCCATCTCAAAAAAAAAAGAAAGAAAGAAAGAATGCCTAGAAGTTTGTAATGATCAAAATCTGCAGGCATTATTTTCTAAGAGCTAGACTGTAAACAAACCTCAGAGGTACCATCTATGCCATCAGAAGTACATGAAACATCTGATGCACATTGAGTCACTTGATCAATTTTTGTTGAGTGAATGAACAAATGAATATAATGAATTAACTAAAATTTTAGCCATTAAGTAGAAAGAATAAGAACTGAAGAGAAGGTAAAGGAGGAAAAAGAGAAAGCAAGGAAGTAGAGTAAGGAAAAAATTAGCTCTTGTTTAAGTCTTCCTGGGGACTCTGTTGAAAAAAGGAAGGCCAACATGTGGTTTTAATCTTTGGAGCTAGAACAAATAATATTGTACAAAAGCACAACATGAGAGATCAAGAAGTTCACAATGACACCTTTCTGCTTCCTGGTCCTAAACCTCAGCTGAGGCTGGAAGAGGACCATAGTGGCTTATTAGAGATGTGACCCCAGGGAGCCCCTCTGCAGGATGGAAGGGGACCGGGCAAGCCGCAACACACCAAGAATGCAGAAGCCACTGATCAGTCAGGAGGCAAGGATCTCAGAAAAGACTTTTAGGTGAATGTGGCAGGAAAGTGGGTTTGCTGGGGTGAAGGCAGGTTTATTCTTTCTCTTCCCAGGTGACCCAGTGCCTCTTGGTTTCTAACTGTGGAGGGAGTAGGTATCAAGAGATGAGTCCCAAAGTTCTGGAATGCTGAGTCTTGTGGCTGAGGTCTAGACCCCTCTGCAGTGCCAGTGCTGTCTCCTGCATCATATGGAGACTGGGCATTCTGAGCTCTTTCAAAACCTCTGTTTTCAGGGACGCAATGGGAACCACTTGTTCTCAATGCAATTATTTTTGTGATATTTACAGTATCAGCCCCCATCTACCAACAAGAACACAAAGTCTCAGAGGAGAAGGAAAGGTGAGCCAAAGACACATCCAGGGGGGGAACAGAAGGAAGGGACAGAAGCAAGTCTGCAAATCAGAGGAAAGAAGGAAGAGCAGAGGAGGGAGATTGGAAGTAGAAATGCTGAATGCAGAGGCAAAAAAGAAAAATGGAGGACAGGAGGACTAAGCAGACAGAGGCAAGGATGATGAGAGAGGAGCAGACACCAAGAAAGAAAAGCAGAAAATGCAATCAAGGAAATGAAGAAAAGTGGGCCTGCTGGAGCTAGATAATAATGTGATGGAAATAGAAGTAACCTGTTAGAGAATGTGGCTAAGAAACATGGAGAAAACGGAAAAGAAAAATGTAATGCCCTAGAAAGCCCAAAGAAAGACAGTGGCAAGTATAAAAAAAAAGAATAAAAATTATGAAATAGGCAAAAAAGACACACTATTCTCTGCCTCTAAAACACAAAGAATTTAAAAAAATTAAGCCTTCTATATGCATTTTTAATTTTTGTATGAATCTGTTATGGAAGAACTGCCCATGTCAATATATGTCCAGAGTTAAATATTAGCCTGAAATTCTTAGCAAGACTGAATTGTGTCATAGAAATTCCCAGATTCCCTTTTCCTGCAATGTCATTGGAGGCTGCATGTCTTAGTCAAGTCCAGGGTTTGGGCCAAAGGGCATCCAATATTGCCTAAAACCCTGTGAGGACTGTGAGGTAACTTTTGAGAAGAGGCCACTGCACTTTTCTTCATCTTTTTTACACTTTGGAATCAGATACAAAAGATGTATACATTTGCTAGGGCTGCCATAACATCAGTACTATAGATTGGGTAGTTTAAACCACAGAAATTGAAATTTTTCATAGTTCTGGGAGTTGAAAGTCCCAAATCAACGTGTCAGCCCTTGCAAGGGCCGTAGAGAAGGTCTGTCATGAGCTCCTTCCCTTGGCTTGTAGGTGACCTCCTTCTTCTCCCCCTGTGTCTTTACTTTATCTTCCCTCCACACATATCTCTGTGTCTGAACATCCTCTGTGTAAAAGGACACCAGCCAGATTGGATTAGGGCCTACCCCACTGACCTCATTTTAACTTAATTATCTCTGTAAACACTCTGTCTCCAAATACAGTCATATTTTGATGTACTGTGAATTAGGACTTCAACATGTGAATTTGGACACCATTCAGCCAGTGACAGAAGACTTCTGATATCTGATGATAACCACTGCATTTTGACTACAGCTGCTAGAAAACACTCCCCTCCCATTGCCACCCCACCACAAATTTATTTTTATATCTGAAATCATGAGTTTCTGCTCCATGAGAACCGCAGGACCATACTGTGTTAGAGCTGGAAGAGGCCTCAGAAATTGGTTCAGTCCCTTTATTTTAAAGACGAGGACACTGAGATCCAGAAGCAGGTAAAGATGTGCTTGGGTTCTAAGCTGCTCTCCTTCTGGCCAGCAGACAACAGCACATAATCAAAGTGGGTCAACTAAGAAAGAATTCCAGAAAGAAAAGACAGGGCAGAACTATACTGTGTAAAGTCTTTTACTAATTTAATATTTTTCCATCAGAAGAAAGGGAGTGAATGAGAGCAAGAGTGCTGGATTTCCCTGAGGGTGAGGAAAAGCTAAATAGAATCACATAATTCAGATTTTAGAGATCTTCTTCAGATCCCTTGGTTTAATCAGTAGAACCGGGGTTTTCTTCATAGATAATAAAGCGAACAGTGCAAAAAGTCTAACCATCCACCAAGTTATGTATTAGAAGAGCTGAGAAGGGGCATAAGACAGAAGTGCTCAGCCAAGCAAATGATGACATTTGGGGGTAAGAATATGACTAAACTCAGAAGTGTATGATTTCATCCAAATAACCTATTTTGAAGCTGTCATGGTATAAAGGAAACTCCTCTCTGCATGGTCCTCCATGCCCCTGCCATTCTTTTTACTCCAGGATCACCCTTTCTAGTGGTTCACTGAAAACCCAGGATTACTTAAATATGATAGAGATGCTCAAGGCTTAATCCGGAAGGAAAGAGTCCAACTGAAAGCATGCCCAAGCCCCACATGGGAGCCAAGCCACTGCTGCTGTGGTCACAGAGTGGATCCTGGTTTATCAGAGCAGAGAGGAGCCAGGCTGGTGCCTTAGCCTAAGTGGTGAGTCAGGAAATACTAAGTTCTTATTCAGGAGATGCTAAGTTCTCCTGCTAAGACATCCATGCTTTGGGACCAGCTGCAGGCAGAGGCCAATTCCTTCTACAACCATCACCTTCGAGTAGCATATAAACACAGATGGTTCTTCAAGGGATCACAGCTCCATAGAATGACTAAGAATTTATATCCTGTGGAAAGGTTTGAATAAACTTTAATTATACCCAATCATAAACTTTATTCAAGAGGAACTAAAGCAAAGGCAAAGAGAGAGACAAGGAAGGAGAGAGGGAAGGAGAGAGGGAGAGAGGGAGGGAGGGAGGGAGGGAGAGGAGGGGAGAGAAGGAGGGGAAGGGAAGGGAAGGGAAGGGAAGGGAAGGGAAGGGAAGGGAAGGAAGCGAAGAAGAGTAGGAAGGGAGGAAGGAAAAAAGGAAGGAAGGGAAGGGACAAAAAGATTTTCTAGTTAAAGAATGTTAAACTGGCAAACTACGTACTGCAGCACAGTCCTTTTCAGGATGAGTTTTACCAATTCTAAAGAAATTATCTTGAATGCCTACATGTGATTACTGAATAATATGAACCAAGAAAACAGGAAGAATCTATTACTAACTTTCCATCTCCTTCTTTCTAGCATAGGTACCCAGGCATCTAGTGATACATTATATCTAATGCTGTTTGGATGGGTGGGTGTATGGATGGATGGATGGATGGGATGGATGGACAAACGAGTGACATAGGCTGATGAATAGTGATAGAAACACACACCATAGAAACAAGTTGCACTGATGAGATGAAATGATTCCTGTTCTCCTACATAAGACAGTGAGGCAAGTACAGAGTAGAAAAGGAAAGGCCTAGGAGTTATGCTTATACTACAAGTCTTGCATGTTTGGAATTTCCTTCTCCGGCCAAATTGAAATTGTTCAAGGAACTACTGCTACAGTGGCAACTGGCTAATAATTCCATAATGAATGTTATATACCTATTACTCCTCTTAAT